AAGTAAAAAAAAAATCGCTTAAAATATTAAAAAAATTCATTAAAAACAAAAAAATATAGAAAATAAGAAAGCAACATTTTCTAAAAAATGTTTTTTTGAAAAACCTAACCAAGTATCTTCACATGACGTAAGTTAAACCAGAACAACTAATTCTTTGAACTCGGTTCACATGAGATGAGACTAGTCCTACAAACTGGACAGATATGAACTAAATGGGCCTGTATGAAAAGAGCCCGGAGCATTCAATACAACCCACTATTGACCACTGGCAGATCCAATCAAATCTGTCTTTACAAACACAAATGTGATTTTATATTTCTTTTTCTTTTTTTTAATTACAATAATGGTATACAAACATGAAAAAGTAAATAGAAAATATAAACTTAAATAGTGAATTAATTTTAGTTGTAATATTCGTCTACTCTACTTTCTAAATAAAATAATATTTCATCATAACTTTTCTAATTTTATATTAAAAAAAGAGAATAACATTCGTTTACTTTTTTAATAAAGTGAGTAAATGAATTTCAAATACTTTATAGGTCAATGTATTTTAGTGTTGTGTTCATTGTAATAAAAGTAGATTTTTTGGATAAAAAAAAATAAAAGTTGATTTAAACTAAATACGAAAATGAATATTTTAATGAAATAATCATTTAATTTTACCTTTATTTGATAAATTAAACTCAACCTTAGAGTTGACAATTGATGCTTTCCCTAAGAGAAATATTTGGTTGAGAATAAGGAACCACGAGTATTCTTGAAGTCCACCACAATCATTTTGTCAATTTGACATCAAATGGTGGGTGGGTGCCTCCTTCATTTTCATTTTCATTTTATGGAAGTAGATATTCATTTTCATTTGACATCATGGGAATAAAAGAAGATCAGGTAAGTGTGGTAGTCCATGCTGGATAAATAGACCAGAGATGTGCAAGAGAATTTTGATTGGGAAGACAATATTCATTGGTAGTGTTGTCAAATCGAAGGGGGAGGGGGCGGGGGAATAATAATAATAATAATAAAATAAAATAAAATCAAAGATTAGATATAGTTTGACATGATTTGGGAATGATTGCGAGAATTTTCTTTGAAATATCAGTTACTTTATTATGCTTTGCCACAATATAAAAATACTACTTGAAGCCCGGTGAACCCATACATTTACATGTGTTGTGTTGTTTTGTGTGATCATCATGTGTTTATAAACATTACTCTTCTAGATGCAATGATGGATGGGTTAGTAAAAATTACATGAATTATCAGAAAAATTACATGCAATTTGGTTACAAAAGATCTTCTTATCCCCCCTCCTCCCTATCTCACAAAAAAAATAAATAAAAAAATAAAAAAAATACAACAGCATAGAAGCAACCAAAAGATATTACATATGTGCTATGTATTATAAGATTCTGATAAAAATTCAAACTTAAAGATTTCAAGTTAAATCAATAGAAAAAATAATAATATTAGCGTATCTTAATCCATTAATGGAAATAATTCAAGTTGTAATTTTTTTGGTGATTGTTATATTCTATTGGAAAATGAGTGGGAGCACCCACTAATGATGTGGCAGTAGGTCCCACTATGAATGATTTGATGTTTTGGTCTTGGTATTGTATTTTTTTTCTTTTTTTATTGAGTGTCATGTCATTAGTGGTCTTTTTAGAGCTCTAAAATTAGTGATTTCTATCATTGTTGTTAATTTTATATCTACTCATTGTAAATAAATAAAATTATAAAATATGATATTAGAAACATGTCAATAACTCATTCATATTTGTGTGTGAATCATAATTTATTACATATATATGGTGCCACTGTTTGCCTTTATGGAATTTGATCTCAGTTGAGAAAGTGAAAGAAGGCTAGTAACGTGCAAGAATCAATTCCACCGCATGGAAGAATATATAAACGCCCTCACTCCCTCCCTCCCTCCCTCCCTCCCACAAAGATTTTCCAAATTCCCATTCTCATTCCTCTCTCTCTCTCTCTCTCTCTCTCTCTCTCTCTCTCTCTCTCTCTGTCTCTCAATATTGTATTTTATTATGATAAATGCACACTTGTCTATGAAAGCTATGGGCTTTGCAATGTGAAAAGAGCCTCACTCCTGCCCCTTTACTTCCTTTTTCACTGCTTACTCTTTTTCTTTTAGGCTTTGGGATATATATATATATATATATGATGGAAACTCACAAATTGATCATTCAATTTGAGAGAGTGTTAACATTTAGTATATTTATTTTAATAATTTAAATTGTTTAATTTTTAAATTTTATTAAATAAAATATTCATATAAAAAATTAAAATAATTGTATATCGGTAACTATATATTTGAATCATATTCGTTTAAAAAAAAAAAATAGATGACAATTATAATTTTAAGAACAGTCATTTATTTTTTGTAATACAAATGTAATTTGAATATACAGTTACAGTTGTCTGATCATTTTAATTTATTGCATGAATATATCCTATATATATATATTTGAATTAAATTTTTTTTTTAATTTTTATAGTTTGACTTCAATTTTATTTCGATTCCTATAATTTTTCAATCCGACAATTTGACCTATACACTTGAAATTTTATTTTTATATCCTATATATATATATATTTGAATTAATTTTTTTTTTTTAATTTTTATAGTTTGACTTCAATTTTATTTCGATTCCTATAATTTTTCAATCTGACAATTTGACCTATACACTTGAAATTTTATTTTAGTTTGGTTCTTCAGTTCACCTTGGAAGTTAAAGTTAACAATTTAAGAACACCTTGGCTCCGTTTGGGAAGAAAAAAGGGAGGCTTTTTTGGCTAAAATAGCCACAAAAAACAAAATAGGCTATTTTAGCCACAAAAAACAAAACATCAAATCCAACCCATAATCATTACAATCCTCTCTCACAAAAAAATTCAAAAAAGCCAAAAATTCAAAAAGCCCTTCCCAAATCAGGCTAAAATAGCCGAAAAGTCAAAAAGTCAACCCACTTTCCAAACGGAGGCTTTGTTAGTCTTCTAAAGCATGCATATAGAAAAAAAATTAATAAAAATTTGGATGGAATATTTTTATTTTATTGTATGTGTTTAAAAAAATAGACAATAATTATATTTTGAAAAATAAATTATTAATTTTTTAGACAAATATAATGAAATAAAAAGATTACAATCATTGAATCGATATAATTTTTTTCATGAATAATATACACAAACAGTTTTACAAAATGAATAGTTTAAATAATCGAAATGAGACCTGTGATGAGCTCTACAGATCCTCAAATTCTCTAAAATTCAAATTTAAACATGAGAGAAATTAAACTCATATAATAATATGTAAGGTAAATTATAAATACATATTTTGAAATTTGTTCAAAATATAAATTGTACACTGTAATTTTGAAAATTACATTTAACTTTTTAAAGTTTATAATTTTATAACAAATGGTTCATTTAATAGTAGAAGGTACCGTGTATCATATACTCTATCTACATATAAAAATTACTCAATAGAGAGAAGAGCCCAATTTCTCTATCACTCTCAAATTCAAAAAATTATTAGTTAATGCAGAAGCGTCATATGACCATATCCCTCACCAATTATAATTTATCATACTCTCTTATATTTTTCAATTATTCAACATAAATTTATAATCTTATCCCTTTTTTCAATTATAATACTATTGAAGCACGACGTAATAATGCCAAAGATGAACCAATAACTTCTCAAATTCTGGGTTGCATCCTCACTACAGCTCGTATCATTCCACTTTATTGTTCATCTCTTCCATCTTCTTTTCTTTTCACACTAGGCTCTTTCTCTCCTAGGTCTCCAACGCTTCATTAAACTTGGCATCAGATTTAAATTTTGGTGAAAAAGTGACTTTTTGGTGTTCCAACGGTTTCACCAAATCAATATCAAATCGAGAATTCACCAAAAGTTTCACCAAAATGAGAATAGGCTCAAGATTTCACCATTTCACTGTGCGTTACCGTTGGGGGAGACCAACCGGTCGACCAGCCGGTGGACCGCCCGGTTGACCAACCGGTGGACCGGTTCCCTTGCAAATATTTTGGTTCAAACAGGTTAAAAGGTTCAGAGAGGTAAAAAAATAAATAAATAAATACACTAACCGGTCGACCGGCTGGTCGACCAAATGGTCGATCCCTGCTTTGATGACAACCATTGGAGCAGTCTGTATCAGATTGAGAAAATGGTCCTTTTTTTACTCAGATTTAGTGAAAAATTTTGTGAACCGTTGGAGATGCTCTCACATATCCTATACACCATTAATTATATTATTTTATTCTTTAATTATAATTAATTTTTTTAATTATGATATTATTTAAAACTATTTAATCATACCTCATATAATATTTATTTATAATTTTTTTTTCTTAGTTATAATTTAAGAAATATAAAATTATATAATTTTCTTCTTGAACCATCTCCAATCTAATATAAAATATTTCATCAAATTTAAATTTGATAAAAAAATCACTTTTTATTGTTCCAACTCAACACCAAACATTTCATCAAATTTAAATTTTTTTTAAATCTTTTATCAAATTAAGAATCGATATACGTTTTATCAAATTATTGTTCATAATTATTAAAATTACAAATCATTTTTACAACCGAACGGCCAGTTGATTGTCTCCAAATAACTACCTCCTTATAGAAATTTGTAAAAAATTTATATTGACCAATTGATTGGCCGGATATCTATCCTCTGTCCAATCGATCAATATTTTGATAAAAATTTATTAGAATGCGTGATATCAAATAAAATTTTTATCCAAATTTAATGACCGGATATCTATCCTCTGTCCAATCGATCAATATTTTGATAAAAATTTATTTGAATGCGTGATATCAAATAAAATTTTTATCCAAATTTAATGAAAAAAAAAATACATCTAGGAGATGCTGTTATAAGGTGGTGTACTATATATATATGTTTTCTTCCACAGCTACCGGGAAAAAAGAGACTGTTGATTACCTAGAGAAATAAAGCCAAAAAAAGGGAATCAGAGAGAGAGAGAGAGATTAACAAATACGCATTCATGGTTTTTATGATGGTAAAACAAGTTCATCGTTTGTATTCAAGGTCCATGTCCCTCCTCAATCTTCGCCTCTTTGTTTTATTCTTCATTCTGTCATCCTCTGCAACTCCTTCTCTCTCCTATGAGCCTCGAAACCATGAAGGTACTTCATCAACAACAAACAAACAACCCATTCTCTCTCTCTCTCTTTCTCTCTCTCCCCTCTTGTTTACCATATTTTTTTATGGTTTTGATATGTTTTTCTTTCTTTTTTTTTTGGAATATTGTAGTTGAAGCGTTGATTGCTGTAAAAAATGTTCTGAACGACCCCCATGGAGTTCTGAACAACTGGGACGAAGACTCTGTAGACCCATGTAGTTGGGCTATGATTACTTGTTCCCCTGATAATCTTGTTACTGGCCTGTCAGTATTTTCTTCTTCTTCTTCTTCTTCTTCTTCTTCTTCTTCTTCTTCTTCTTCTTCTTCTTCTTCAAAACACACACACACACACACTTATATATACATATATATATTTCTACATGTATTGCATAGTTTATGTTTCATGGGTTAAATACCAAGTGAGCCTTCAATTTATGGGTTTTACAGAGGAGCCCCAAGCGAAGGCATATCAGGAATTTTGTCTGGGATGATAGCTAACCTTACAAACCTCCGACAAGTGTAAGAAATCAGAGCGTATAGATATGTTTGCACAGAGCATATTATATGTTTACAGTTTTCTGATCAAAGCATTCACACCTCAATTTGTGTTTCTCTCTCTCTCTCTCCAATTATAAGTGTCCATGTTCTTTCTTATATGGGTCTGTATGTATGCTGAAAAGATAGGGATCATGAAAAAACTTTCATGAAACTGGTCATGAAAACTCTTGGATTACCTTGATTAGTGTGTAATGTTTTATTTTAAGTGTAATTCAAAGATCATAAATCTTTCATCATCATTTTCATGAATGTTTTTTCATGATACCTAGCATTGCTTGTGTATGAATCGTGCAGATTGTTGCAGAACAACAATATCTCCGGAGAAATTCCACCAGAACTCGGGTCTCTTCCAAACCTCCAGACCTTGGATCTGTCCAACAATCGGTTATCTGGTCACATGCCGGAGTCTCTGGGTCTGTTAAATGCTCTTCTGTATCTGTAAAGTCTTTTATCTCTTTCTCTCAGTTTTGTAATGGGTTTTCTTTTTCTCTAGTATTGATTACTCCCTGTTTCTGGTCTTCTTTTATACTATGTCATCTTTTCTGACCGTGTGGTTGTTGTTTTTATCATGTCATGTGTAATGAATGAGTAGAAGGTTGAATAACAATAGCTTGTCTGGAGCCATTCCTCTGTCTTTAGCCAAAGTCCCTCAACTTGCTTTCTTGTGAGTATGCCTCCCTCTGGTTTCTTCTCTCTCTCTCTCTCTCTCTCTCTCTGTTTTGTTTGTGTTTCTCAGTGTCTTGGAAATCAAAACAACCTGCAATTTTTCTCACTGCTTTTCTAAATCAGAGGTTTTGGTTCAAAATGCATAAGTAAGTCTGTAGTTTGTTTTTTATAATCATTCAGGGATTTGTCTTATAACAATCTCAGTGGACCTGTGCCCAAATTTCCTGCCAGAACATTCAAGTATGGATTCTCTGCACAACTCTTTCTCATACGTTGTGTGGATAGTATGTATTCGTGGCTTTATTTCAGTTACTGATTATTCTTCTCACATTTTTCATATAGTATTGTGGGTAACCCTCTTATTTGTGGAAGCCACTCAATTCAAGGTTGCTCTGGATCAGCCTTTCCTATTCCTCTTTCTTTCTCTCTTCGTGTATCCCCTGGTATCTCTCTCTCTCTCTCTCTCTCTCTCTCTCTAAATATATATGTATATATAAGCAATTTATCTCTCTGTTAAATTTATCTTCTACAATATTCTAGGAAAACTTAGCTCCAAGAAACTAGCAATTGCACTTGGGGTCAGCCTGGGCTTTGCCACTCTCAGCCTCATAGCAGTTGGGTTCCTGTATTGGAGGAGAATTAAAAATAAAAAGCAAACCATTCTTGATATCAGTGGTCAGTAACTCACAAGTTTTGTTTAAACGTTACATTTATAAATCAAATTTTAATAAAAACCTTAACAAGTCTTAATTATATATATATATATATTTATATATTTTTGTAGAGGTGCAAGAAGAGGGTCTAATGAACCTGGGCAATCTCAGGAACTTCACATTTAGAGAACTCCAAGTGGCCACGGACAATTTTAGCTCGAAGAACATACTTGGTGCTGGAGGTTTTGGAAATGTGTACAAGGGAAAGTTGAGGGATGGCACAATGGTGGCAGTGAAACGGTTAAAGGACGTGATTGGAACAGCTGGGGAATCGCAATTTAGGACGGAATTGGAAATGATTAGCTTCGCAGTTCACCGAAATTTGTTGCACTTAATGGGATATTGTGCCGCCCCAGTTGAGAGGCTTCTTGTGTATCCTTACATGTCCAATGGAAGTGTGGCCTCAAGGCTTAGAGGTTGGTACCTCTCTTTTACTTCCCCTGCAGTCTCTATTGTCACCACTCACATTCACATGGCATGGGCATGATTCCTCTACTGCATGACCTACCAACTGTGGGTACTTCTTTCACTTTTTAATTTGTTATGGACCACTATGTATCAGGGGCTCCAGACATTTTGATTCCTCACTTTCAAAGCATGTAGTTTGTGGAGCTGGGATCAACCATGCTTAACTAGTTTAGAAATATTGGTGGTTTTGGGGTGATTTTTGTCTTTACTCCAACCTAAACTTGTCTCAAAATGCCAATTTGTTTGGTAACCAATTTTCTAATCGTGGAAGTTCTGCAAAAACCGTTATTTGAAATGAGAACAATTCATTTTAAGTGGAAAACTGAATATCTAGACTATTTGATTTGGATATATTAATAGATAAGTGACAAAAAATTAATTAATTAATTAATTAGAAATATAAAATAAAACAGTTATATTACCAAAACTTTGTTTAGCCTGAAATTATGTGGATGGGAATTCATTTTGCTCCAACCATTTTTATGTCACAGATTTGGGGCATTCTTTTTCCTATTTGACCTGGCATTCTTTAACAAAAATTTGCAAATAGTGAGTTTTCAATTTATGTGTTTGCTTTGTTTGATTTTTCTCAAACTTTCCACATATATGGTAGTTATTAAGTAATCAAAATGGTTTGGGAAATAAAACTTAGCCTACAAAAGAATTTCAGCCATAATGTGAGGAAGATTAAATTCAATTTTTTATTTTGATTTTTAAATTTCTTAGTCTTGATTAAATTTCAATTTCAAGGCATTTCTTAAAAAGTAATACTAAATAAATAAATCTAATTGAACAGTGGTTAAATCAATCGCATCTACTTGGATTTGACATTGACTTGCATTTTACAAGGGGGCTGAATGGCTCCATCTCATATAATGAATGACAAGAGTTCCCAATCTAGAATGGGGCCATAGTCTTTCACTTCTGATGGAGAATATACAAATGCCACCACTTTTACTTTCATTAGCGCTATCAATGGATTCCATTTCATGTAATAGCTCCATTAGTGAGGATGGATGTGTTTGTAAAGCAATATATGAGGGACATATGGATTGTTAATATAATATTGCTAATTGTTTAGATATAGATGCTTTCTCTTTTCACTTTATTCTTTCGGTGGTGATTACCAATCATCCTTTGGTATCCAATGTACATTTCCTCTCTCTATAAAGAGAGAGTTCACTCTTGTAAAGATACAACACAGAATAGACAGAAACCATTCATTGCTCTCTAGCTTCTCTCTCAAACTAAACTTACATGGATATTCAATTCCCTTTTGGCATCCAGATGTGCACACACACAAAAAAAAAAACTTGTCTATTGTGTGTTGTGCACCACATGTACGAATGTTACATCAATTAAAAAATTGTGCATTCTCTTGATATTATGAGCAGAAGTTGATACATTGTCTCCGTGAAAAGTTTTATTGTTCATGACGGCAAAGAAGGAATAAAGTTTGTGGCATTACTCTCTTATTACCAATTATACTTTATCCCCAACATGCATTTTAACAAAGTTCCCTGTCAACTTGATTATGACAGAAAAACCAACACTAGACTGGCGCACTAGAAAGAAAATTGCAATAGGAGCTGCACGGGGACTTCTCTATCTGCATGAGCAATGTGATCCAAAGATAATCCACAGAGATGTGAAGGCAGCCAACATCCTGTTGGATGACTACTGTGAAGCCGTTGTTGGTGATTTTGGGCTTGCGAAGCTACTTGACCACGGTGACTCCCATGTTACCACAGCTGTCCGTGGTACTGTTGGACATATTGCACCTGAGTATCTCTCCACTGGCCAGTCATCTGAGAAGACTGATGTTTTTGGATTTGGAATTCTCTTGTTGGAGCTCATCACTGGGATGAGAGCTCTTGAATTCGGCAAATCAATTAATCAGAAAGGAGCCATGCTTGAATGGGTAAGTTTCTTCCATTATTAAATTATCAATCTGGTGTATGCGTTGTACATTTGCATGAGATCATCACATTCCAGCTGGGGACTCCATATGGATCCCTGCTTATAGTCCTCCTCCATCATAGTTTATGCTTTCTATTTCATTGTTGAGCGTCACTATGGTCTTCTCTGCTTTTTGTTTGGGCATAGAAATCAAAATACCACTATCAAAGTTTTGCCAAAATGTCTAACCATTTATTCTTGGTCATCCTGTTTGCCTTTTGTTGGGTAATTACTATCTAAAATGCTAAGAATATTTAAATGACTTTAGTCGTGCCACATCCAAAACTCTGTGATTGAGGAAAAAGAATATGAAATGAAATAGTGTCCTTTAAAGAAAAAGAACTTTATCAGTAATGATCTAATAGCTGATGATGACAGTTGCAAAGATCATCCAAATTCAGTAGTTATTGTTTTTTAATTGTTCTGAATCTTAGAATAATTTCTATGTTATTTTCCTGTTAGAGCAGCATGGGAAAATGTTATCAATTCCCACAATTCCATGGGGAAAACATTTAAATGATGCATTTAAGGGTCACCACTCACATTCACATGGCATGGGCATGATTCCTCTACTGCATGACCTATCAACTGTGGGTACTTCTTTCACTTTTTAATTTGTTATGGACCGCTATGTATCAGGGGCTCCAGACATTTTGATTCCTCACTTTCAAAGCATGTAGTTTGTGGAGCTGGGATCAACCATGCTTAACTAGTTTAGAAATATTGGTGGTTTTGGGGTGATGAGCCCCAAGCGACCAACCTAAACTTGTCTCAAAATGCCAATTTGTTTGGTAACCAATTTTCTAATCCTGGAAGTTCTGCAAAAACCGTTATTTGAAATGACTTTGTGTAATCATATGAATTTCTAAATCCAATTTACACCGCTAATCTCATAGTAATTCATGATCTTTAATTTAAACAACTCAAAGCCTAAAGGATTATGAAGAAAGCATTTCAATTTATGGAATTTGGTGGAAATTTCTTACCTTAACTTGATGAATTGACTTAGCTTCAATGTTCTTCCTCTACTTCTCTTCTTGAGTTCTAACTCTCAAAGTCTCCCTCTATCTTCTCTCTCTACGTGGATGACTAGCAAAATGCAAGAAAGCCACTGCACTTCTCTTATGTTCAATTAATGGGTATAATGCATAAGACTTTAATTAATTAATTAGACTTTAATTAATTGGATTAATCAAACTAAATAGATTAAAAGGGGGGGTGGTGGTTGAAATTTGCTTTTGCTTCTAATCTTATTAGCCAAATTACATGACTTGAAGTTGCAAGTTTAATTGGACAAACAAAGCATACTTTGTTTCAGGTGAGAAAAGTGCAGCAAGAAAAGAAAGTAGAGGTGTTGGTGGACAGAGAGCTAGGGTGCAAATATGACCAGATAGAGGTTGGAGAGATGGTGCAGGTGGCTCTACTTTGCACACAATACTTGCCTGCACACCGCCCCAAGATGTCGGAAGTGGTGTGCATGCTCGAGGGGGATGGCCTTGCTGAAAAATGGGCTGCCTCTCACAACCATATTAATCCCAACACAAATTTCTTCCTTGCCAACAAGGAAAGTAAAATTCAGTCAAACCATAGCATGGTCCCAAGGCATGATGACTATGATCATGACTGTTCGAGCATGTTTGGCATGATGGATGATGACCATGATACCCATGCCATGGAACTCTCTGGACCAAGATAGAAGAGAGGAAGGTAGCAACAAAAAAGACATACAGACTGAAGTGGTTTCTTTCTTTCAGATATTCTTTATTAAAAGCCAGAATTAACTTTGTCCTTGAGAAGAAAAAGAGAGGTAAAGAGGGCTCTAACCATCTCTTTCTCATCACTTACTTTTTCTAGTTTGGATTTCTATTGTAAATATTTGTTCTTTCCTAAGCCCAAGTCACTCACCTTGATTGGATAGGTTCAATACCAGTGTAAAACTTAGTCTCTATGTCTTTGTGATTTTTGTTTTAGTTTGGTTTGACTGGAATTGTGGTGTAAATACATGCCCTTTAAAATCCTCCAAAAGTAGTAGAAGATGTAGCAGTTGTTTTTGGAGTTTTCTTATTTTTTATTTTTTGGTAATAATACCAAATTAATGTTATTTTGATACAGTTTTTTCAAATTCAAATTGTTTTAAAGTTATGTTTCTCGAATACAAGTTATCCTTTCAAGTCGCCTTTTGTCATGTGAAAAGCAAAGATTTTGATTAGTTTATTGTGAATTTTTTTTAAGTTGTGTTTTAGAAATATGATTTTAAAAAGCGGTTTGAATTTGAAAATTAAGTTCAAAATAATTCATATTTGAGAAATTTATTTTAAAAAAAGGAGAAAAAATTAGTAAACAGAATAATGTAGCTTGCATACTTGGCTTGTAAATGGAGGGGATGGGAGGGAACATCGTCAGGTGCTTTGGTAGCCTGTTCTGAGGTGTGAGACAAGTGAGGGAGTGAAGACTGAAACAGAAAGCAAAAGGGTTTTGACTAAAAGTTGGCACCCATTGTTCTAGCCATCTCTTTCTGTGACGGTGGTGTTGTATGTCTGTATTGTCTATAGTGTTATTTTTGTATTGTCTGAAAATGATGTTTGAGACAATCTTATTTTCCCTCTCTTCTTTTACATTTTTCTTAAAACGACAATGTTTTGGGATACTATATGCAATACACCACAAGGATTCAAATTCACTGGATTGGGTAGTGTAGTGGATAGTCTCAGAAAGGAAAATTATATCAAACTCCATAATTTTGGTGTAATACTACGAAGTAAATATATTTACTTATTGTAATAGTTTTTATTACCAGATATTTGGTTTGATTTGTTTTCTTTTCCTCTAAGTTAATCTTTTTCTTGGTGACCAAGAATCATCCAAGCAACTTCCTATACTTTTTCTCCAAGGATCCTCCAAGTCAAGTCTTCAAGTCTTCCAAAAAAATTGTCCACCAATTTCCTTTCATATTCTTATCCACCAAGTCTCCAAGAAAACTTGACCACCAAGAATATTTGCCCTCCAAGTTACCTCTCCTATAAATTGAGCCTTTCACCTCTCTTATTGTGAGCTCAAGCTTCTTATTTGTGAGATTATCAGGCAAATAAAAAAGGGTGTACGTGATAAAGCTTTGGGTTCAACCAATTGCAGTGGCGAAGCCAAGAAATTAAATCAGAAGGGGCACTTATTAATTATAACATTGAAAATTTTTACAAAATATTTCATATAAATTTTTACGATTGGCTTTAAGAAAGATAAATATATATATATATATATTATTTGTAATTAGTATATTATGGATAATATATATAAAAAAAAGAGTCATGGATATAAGTTTAAAATAAATTATATAATGATAAAATAATTTTTTATACAAAATTTGAATAAAAATTCAATATAATAGTAATATCACGTCATCATTGACATATAATATCACCAACCAATAGTAAAGAAACACATAGAGGATAAACCCCACATGTCAAATGTATCTAACAATTCAATAAATTCCAAATTTTTATTGAGATTAATTATAATTATATGTCAATAATGATAGACATCATGATTGTATTGAAATTTTCATAGATAATAATATGACTTATCGTAATATCTTTATTTTCAATAAAAAAAATAACCATTATTATTCTCATAATTTTAAAAATGCCATTGATATTCCACTCTAAATAATATTTTATAATTTTTTTTGTTTAAAATATTTTCTTTATATTTACACACACACAAAAAAATAATAAAAAATAAATAAATAATTTCAAAATCCAAGGGGGGCACGTGACCTCCCTGGTCTAGCTGTGGCTCCGCCACTGACCAATTGTGCTGTATTGGTTAACCATACAACTTAGTCGGGCTGTTGCATCCTGGGAGGACAAGTCATGGTTTTTTCTACTGCACCGATATGAGGCTTTGCCTAACCGCAGAGAGTTTGAATCTCCTTAAAGAGAGTGAATTTTCCGTACCTCAGCCCTTACAATAGTTATTGTAATTTTTTTTTATTTGTAGTTTTTGGTATTTTATTTATAATTATCATCTATAGTTTTGATGTATTTACTAGCATTGCATTTGAACTTAAGAAAAGCCCAAAATAAATATATATTTTCTTTTCTTTTCTTTTCTTGGACATGTTTTACAAATATAATATTAGTTCAAAACTTCCAGTATTAATCACATTGCCTGTTTGGCGTATGTGTTTTACTTCAAATAATTTTACGAATACACTTTGCTGTCCTTTAAGAAAAGAAGAAAAACTCCCTTCAGGAAATAAATAAATAAAAACTGAGATTGGTCCTTAAGTCATAGAATCAGAGTTTTGAATTGGAAATTTCTTGGGGCCCAAATGTGCAATTTCGTTATAGCCCAGTTTGGACTCCACAACGTGTCCATAGTTTTTGGCTGTTTCTGGATCTGTATTTTAATTTGCTACTCTGCTTTGATCTTCAAATGAATGAAATTTATTGGGGCCAAAACACACCCTAAATTAAAAGATCAATATGTTATTCATAATTTTATTTCTTACTTTATTTTCTCACTTCTAAACACAAAACAATGGAGTTCACAACACCCTGTATTCATCTCATCAGATAAACATAATATGTAAATGCATTGTCACAACTTGTACCCTAGTGTCACCTGAAGACAAAAAGTTTGTAAATGCAAAATTCTGTAGCTTGATGAATTAAACAAACAGTGCACATGAAATTGTAGCATCGCATTCATCAGCAATGAAAAAATAGCACAGGTTAAGCACATTAACTACATCCAGTCTTTCATGAAGAAACAATAATCACCAATCGACAAGATCGATAGGGGGGAAAATGAAAGCATCAATAGCAAAATTGTTATTGAATGATTCTGCTTGCTTTGCAGATTCAAAAAACTCCGTTTACATTTCCTCTCAATTGTTTGAAGCGACTTTTAAAAGAACTAGTTTCTTTATTAACGACTTCATTTGATTACCACTGAACCTTGTAACCAAAACCAAGTCCATAGCTTTTTCAACACTATAAATAACACAAAACTTCAGCTACAGTACCAAATACATTAAGCAGAGCATAAAACAAGGTCAGGCCACTACTTGAGGACTGAAGGTTAAAGCACCTGATAAAAAACACTAGACAACCCACTATAGTGTCATCATGTGTTTACTTGAAGAGCAATCATAGTGAAAAATCTCTTGCTTTTTGTTCCATAGTGTCACATTGAAAGAAGAAAAATTATACAAAACAACACAATGGAGCATCTATAAGATCATATGAAAAGGCTACAAACCAAAATTTATATTGCCTGGAAATTAACAGTGAAGACTCTTTAGACAAATGATACATCTCAACAACTGGTAATTAGATTGGTAAATAATTGTAACACTAAAAGCGAAGGATGTAACCGAATGTGTACAATGCAAACAACAAAAACAACTGACCATTACATACATAGAGAAACAATAGTCTCCAAGATTCATCATTCATGCGACATTAAAAAACACTATCTTGTTGTGACAAAGCCAGTAACTCAGGCAATGTGCTTATCATTTTTAACACGATCTCTTCTCTTAACCCTGTTCCTCATCATCTTAGCCCACCTTCCAAAAAGATTGGACGCCTCAAACTTTCCCGAGAACTTCATCTTTTGGGACAACTCCTCTAGTATGTCAGGTTTGCCAATTCTAGAGAAATCAGCAGCAAACTTGTTGTAATCAAGTTGAGGAGCTTTCATTCCTTTCTCTATCATTTCCTCCACATATTTACAAGCTTCCTCTGATCTTCCCTGCCTTATAAGCCCTCCAATTAAGACAATGTAAGAATTATCATCAGGGCAACATCCCTTCCGAATCATCTCTGCCCAAACTGCACAACCCATACCGTAATTTTTCATCTGAAAGTAGGACTTCATCATCATATTGTAAGTGTGGATTGTTGGTTGAAAACCACTTTGAATCATCTTTTTGTAAATCCTAACTGCATCATCCGGCATTTGCCTATTTGTCATCAATTTAATCAAGGCATTGTAAGTTTGCACATCTGGTGGGCATCCTTTTTCTTTCATCTCCCTCAACAATCCATAAACTTTGTCCATCTTCTTTTGATTCCCAAACCCGGTAATCAAACATGTATAAACTGCAGCATCCGGCTCACAGCCATAATCAAGCATCTCCTCAAAGTATTCAACAGCTTCTCTCATCTTCATTTGCTTGCATAAATCCCTAATCAAGATTGTATAGCTTCGAACACTAGGACATGGGCCCTTGGACTTCATGACCTCAAACAACTTGATCGCATCAGACCTCTTTCTACACCTCAACAACCCTTCAAGCATTGTATGATGGGCAACAATATCCGGTTTGAAACCTTTATCAGTCATATCATTCCACACCTTCCCTGCCTCCATTAAATTCTTCACCCTGCACCACCCATTAAGCAAAACCGTATAGGTCCTCAAATTCGGTGTAAATCTCTCTTTCAAACTTTCAAACAAGAGTTGAGCTTCCTTTCCAAGTTTTGCTCTCCCAAGTGAATCAAGCAAACAATTAATGGTATCAACGCCAACTTTGAATTTATACTTTTTCATCAATTCAAAAATCCCAACTGCTTTCTTCCTCTCTTGAGCCTCTGCAAAGGCTTTAATTGCAATCTGAAAAGTCTCCAATGTGAGCAGCTCTCTCTCACCCATTTCTTCAAGCACTATCACCATGGTTTCGAATTGCCTAGCTTTCCCAAGTATCAACATCATCTTATTGTACGTCCTGGAATTGTGGGAGTAGCCAGGGCTAGGCCTCTGCCCTGCCCAGCAGAAGAAGCGAAAGGCCGGACGCCTAGCGTGGCGGAACCGTTCCAACACTTGGACAACCAGATCATGGTTGAGAATGACCCCACACTCATCCAAAACAGCCTCCATATTCCGATCCAAAGCAAACAATTCGTCGACCACCTTGCATACCCTATCAACTTCTTTCCAATCCGCCATGGAATTGACATTTTCACAGTGAACACCCTCGCAATTCTCAACATCCGCGGTCTCGGAATCAGAATCCCCATTTGAAACCCTACTACATAAACCTCTATTAGTAGTAATCGTAGGAGGAGGAGGAGGGGTTGGAGGAGCTAGGAAGAGGGTTTGCAACTTTTCTTGTAGAGGCCGGAGGAGAGAGAGTGGAGGGGGGTGTGGCATAAGATGCGGAACTTGACAATTAAGACGATGGAGAGTATAATGAGGAGGAGAATGATGCAGACGAGAGAGGGACAGAGAGCTACCATGCATATGGAGGACCACTTGCCTTGGGCTTCCTCCTGCTGCTGCTGCTGCTGCTGCTCCGGGCGTGGGCGTGGTGGTTTGTCTCCGATCGACATAGCGTAAGGAGGATTGGAAGAGTTGGCCATTTGGGTTGAAATTGGGATACAAAGATGTAGATGTAGATGTAGATGTAGATGTTGATGTTGATGTTGATGATAGTGCTCTAATAAAGATGGAGCCTTTATTGAGGAGGAAGAGGAGGATGAGTTGTTGTTGTTGTTGTTGTTTTTTCAGCAGCATAAATGTAAGAGTAAGAGTCATTTGAAATCCATTAATCGTAACAACAATAAAAAGCCGATGCAAATTGGCAGATCAAGGCGAGGAGCAACGTTGGTTGTGGCGGTGGTTGGATGGAATGGGATGGGATGGGGAGATCGGAGATCTCTACCAGAAGAGAATGATGAGTAAGTAGATGATGCTGGTAGCTAGGATTAGGTGAACAAGTAAAGTAAAAGGGAAGGAATGAATGAATGAATACAAGGCGCCGTCTAGTTGGCAAGAGTACGCTCATCCCTTTACAGATTAGGTTTGAATTTCTTACTGTTTAATTAAAAGTTTGATAGTGTGGGTGAATTGATTAGCGTCTTATGGTTTGTTTTGCAAGGATAAAAGTCCGACGGTATTTAACTTGTAGTGCCTGTTTGGCAGAAATTATTTACAGTTTATTTCAGTTTTCAGTTTAATTTAAGCTATTTTGATGTGTTTGGTTTAGCTTATAGCTTATAGCTTATAGTTTTGTGGAAGTCAGAAATCAGCTTATTCTTTGAGTGGGGCGGAGATGCTTTAAGAATAAGCTGAAAATTAGCTTAAGCTGAAAGTTATAAGCTATAAGCTGTTTAGGCATAAGCTATAAGTACTTTCCCACAGCTCTACCAAACAGGACTGTAAGAATGAATCTTTAAGTCCCATCTTCAGCATTCTGGATATTAAGTAAAAGGGAAGGAATGAATGAATGAATACAAGGCGCCGTCTAGTTGGCAAGAGTACGCTCATCCCTTTACAGATTAGGTTTGAATTTCTTACTGTTTAATTAAAAGTTTGATAGTGTGGGTGAATTGATTAGCTTCTTATGGTTTGTTTTGCAAGGATAAAAGTCCGATGGTATTTAACTTGTAAGAATGAATCTTTAAGTCCCGTCTTCAGCATTCTGGATATTAAACCCAAAAAAATATAAAATAATGGATGGTATGGATCAAGTGAAAACACCTCTCGAGACTTTTAACAGCCGGCCCAACCCCAGCCTTTCCCACTACGGCCCAATTACAAATACTGTTTTGATTTTTACATTTTTTCTATTTATATTTTTAAAAGTTATAAACAAAACCTTTATTTTTCTTCAAAAATTTATAAATACTTTAAAAAATTAACTACATTTTTGCAACTAAAAATAATTTTTTTCGTTTGTTTTTAAAAAAGAAGAAGCTTTTATTCATTTGTTTTCACAATCCTTCCAATTTTTTTCGTTTGTTTTTAAAAAAGAAGAAGCTTTTATTCATTTGTTTTCACAATCCTTCCAATTGTCACTCACCTTCTATCGCCATTGTTGTCAGCACATCCAGCTATGCCTCTTTAATAATCTTGATAGTTGTTCTTTTCTTTTCCAACTATTTTTTTTGTTTTTTTAGCAAACTTTATTTGAGTTTTTTCAATTTTTTTGAGCTTTTATTAAATCCTTCAATATTAATTGAACCTGCAAAAATAAAAATTAAAAAATTGTGATTCTTTTAACTAAATATCAAACTCAATGAGAAGGTCCATTTTTGCTGAGATGCACGATTATAGTTTATTGAAATCATAAGTGACATAATGGTTTTGACTATCAAAATCTAACTGAAGAGGGCTCCAAAGAAACATGGGTTTCAATATGTATATATACGAAATAATTTATCATAATATAATACGTTTATTTGCTGCATTTCTTAACATGTAAAAAAATAATATTTAGAAATTAAAAGTTAATTATGATTTTTTTGCTACACAATATATAAAATTTTAAGATAAATTACAAATACACCTCTTGAAGTTTGTTTAAAATACGAATTGTGGTTTGAAAAATTACAAATACCTCCCTGTCAGAATTTTTTGTTTAACATAATTAATTAAAAAAGTGAAATTTTTAAATGTTCACCTGTACAATAATAAAATTATCTGAATTATTAATTGAAATAAAATTTTAACATTATTAAAGACTGTTAATTAACTTGATAATTTATTAAAAAAAAGACATATTTGTTATAAAATTAGAAACCGTAAGGGGCATAATGTAATTTCTAAAATTACAACGAGAATTTTATAATTTAAGTAAACCTCAGAGAATGTATTTATAATTTACTCAAAATTTTAAATTAAAAATATAATAAATAATTTCATGAATTACACCAAACATTCTTATACATAGATAGTTACACGCACTAAAAAATATATGTATTATATATAAATTATGATATTTATAATATTTATTATTACAAATGTAATTTAAATTATTTTTAGTCATAATTAAAAAATAATAATGGGTTATAACTAAATACACATAAAACTATTTTTTTTTATATTATAATCAAAATAATATCATGTTATCCAAAAAGCAACGTAAGAGGGGGTGAATTAGGTTTCTACAAATTAAAATTAATAATACCCCAATAAAATTCACTACTAGTACAACAAATTATTAACAAATACAATGATGAACTTAATAGTAAATGATCAAGCAAAATAACAATGAAGTATAACTAGCATACAAGGTAAATCAAATGATTAGCACATGAATATTAGATAGATATAGCAGTAATAGGAAAGTAAAGAGATTAGGGAAGATGAGACAAATAGATTTATAGTGGTTCGGCTTCAACCAAGCCTACATCCACTCCTCAAGTTTCACTTGAGATTTTCCACTATCTTCTAGCTTCACAAGGTGCTAGCAACCTTTTTACATATAAAACAATCCTCCACAGATTTTACACGGACTTTCTAAGTCAAGAACATTTAGTGTACTACACTCTTACAAGGTTGAAAAAGAATGTGTTTTTACTTTCATAGAAAGTTACAATAATTATCTCTCAAAGATAGATATAAAAATGAAGCTCTAGTTTTTCTGTAAACCTCACACAGGAAAGATGAGCTTAATGCTACAAGGCTCAGTGTATAATTTATGAGAGAGGATGTAAACAAAAATTGAAGAACACTTCTCAAAAATTTTTTTAGAGATTAGATGTGAGTGATTATAGATCAAAAAATATTTTCTAATTTATTTTTTTTTCTGTGTAACTTGTTTACATTAGAGGCTTTGATATATATAATGAAACTTATAGCCGTTGTATTTATTTGAATTTATAGTCATTTATAACCGTTGTACTCCATCATTACTAATTTGAATATCTTCCACTCCATCATTACAAATTTGAATATCTTCCACTTAAACCTTTTGAATCTTTTGGCTTGCTACTGTGCTAGGTTGTTTGAACCTTTGTTTTGGACTGTTTAAACTCCTGATTTAATTAAATATTAAATATATGCTAACAACATTTAGGATAAAGGTTTAGGTGAGAAATAATGAGACAAAATAAATTTTGATTCTATTTTTCTCTTTCAAATAAATCATCAAAATAAATTTTGATCATATTAAAATATAATTAAATAAATCATCAAAATAAATTTTAGATTCTATTTTTCTTTTTCAAATAAATTAAAATATAATTAAATAAATCATCAAAATAAATAAGTCTAACAATCTCTCCCTTTTTTATGATGGCACACAATAATGTTTTGATTTGATTTGGGAGTAAGAAAGGCTCCCCTTCAAGTCATGCTCCTTGAATTTAAGCTTTAATTAGAGACATGATATGAGACTAAGATATCAAACTATAAATACATAATCATCAAATTAGTTTTCAAATAATATCATAATTTGAAAATAACATCATATAATTTCTCCCCCTGTGACATTATCAAAAGGAAATTATGGGTCAAAATCTAGAGAAGGAGGAGGAGGAAAATGATAGTGATAAATGGCATCTATACAATTCAAAACATATATATACATATATGCATACACAGACAACTCGCCCGCGTCTCTCTTTTTTCTTCATCAAATGCGTTTGACACGCGGCCTCACTTTTGCGTCATTGCCCGACAAAAGCAGGTCTCGATTTGCACTCGCCTCGGCTCCCTCTCCCTCATTGTCTTCTTCTCTTTTGCCTTCTTCTTAATCACACACTTTTCTAGGGATAAGCATGGTCCAGATTGGGGTAAAACCAGGACCAATCCGTTATCTACGGTTCTTGAAAAATTAGAACCAATCCAATCCGTTTAAATCATGGAACCAATCCAAACCAATCCATTTAAATACGGATTGGATCGGTTTAGGACCGTTTAGGACCACAGATTCACATAATTAAATAACAAAAAAATATATATAACACTTTAATTTCATAAAAATATAAACATAACGTTATATTAGTTCCACAATAGCAACATCTATTTCTATAATAGCGACATATTGTTCTAGAATTTAAACAACTATAAGAAAACTGGTTTCACCATAAGTATTTAAACCATTACAAATTAGAACTAAAAACTAACAAACAAAAGTAATAAAAGAAGATATTATAAGGTTTTAGGTTTGAGTTTAGATTTTATATAAAATAAGAGAAGATACTATGGGGGATGATGTATAATAAAAATATATACTATTTGTATACGGTCCTGATCGGTTTCAATCCGGAACCATGGGGTTCAATCCAGAACCAATCCGTGTACTATGAATTTTTAATTCTTCAATCCGAAACCGAACCACGGATTTAAAAAATCAATCCAAACCTATCAGATTGGACTGGACTTGATCGGATTACGGATTTTACGGATTCCTTACTCAGCTCTGCACTTTTCCATTGTCTTCTTTACCACTCTCGTCTGTTTCTTCTTCCTCATCAAAAAAATAAATAAAAAAATAAAAAAAATAAACTGAACAGAGCAGGCCAAACCTCAGTCTGTTCTTTTCTATTTCTCTGCAACTCATTTCTTTTACACCTCTTACCTCAAAACCATGGTTTCCTCATCCCGTCCTCTTACTCTATTTCCGGACCTGAACGATCCCGTAAGCTCTATTGGACCGAGTGCCCTTACTCCTGCTCTTCCTGTCATTCCTCTTCCTAACATTCCTATAATGTCGATTGAGCAAATCATGGCAGCTCAACCTGATATAGAAACCAATCATTTCACACTGACGTCCTGTATAGAGACGGTGACTGCAGTCACAAAATTGGCACATCGACTGCAGAACAGAACGAGTGAGCTCCACCAGGTCAACGCCCAACTCTCTTTGCTCCAGCGCATGTACAAGGATGCGAGAGCAGAAATAGGCACACTGAAGGGCGAAAATAAAAAGCTTAAATGGAAGACCACCTCTATGGCCCGATTTGGAGCAACGTCATTTTTTGCCTTTGATAGTCACCAGGGAGTCGTTGCTCTCGATGAAAGCACGGGGGCAGGGGCGTCAAGGGTCACC